CGTAGAATGGACTTGTTGTCAATAGATAATATACTGTTTCGAGCAATTAACCTTCTAAAACCGGGCCGAAATTCTCATAATATAGCCTTCAGACCGGCGCGATCCGAAACAGTTTTGCCCCCTCTTTGACATTTTCCTAATGAGAAAAGTCGTTTGTTCCCCTCCATGGATGAAGTAAACTTTACATGTTTGTCGGACGCTTACGTCGCATAGTAGAGAGGTTACTAGATTTGCAATTTTTTCGATGATTATTTTGCTTTCATTTAAATGAAGTTCTAAATAAATAGTGCATAAATAAATATGCAGTACTGGATGCATATCCAGTGCACACTTTATTTAGAACAAAATGTATGCAATGTTTATATTTCACTCACTATTTCTAATCAATCTCGTAAATAATTTGTGAATTTTTTAACTTTGTTTTCACTCTTCATTTATATTCGCGTATTTTTCGTATTAGAAATTAGAAAGCGAGAACAAAATTTAACAAATATAGTAAATACGGACTAGATTTGTAAGTCTGCAGGCTGGAATGCGATTTTTAATAACATATTTTCATTAATAAAATAATGGTAATGACTAATTTAATGAAATAATAATAATAATATTTATTACCATTAGATGATTAGAATGAGATTCAATACAATTAGATTTTGAGATGAACTTACAGCAATAATAAAGTTTTACATAACAATAACAGAAATTCAATACAATTAGATTTTGAGATGAACTTACAGCAATAATAAAGCTTTACATAACAATAACAGAGATTTAAATCTGCTTTTTTCGATAATTTTGTTATTATAATATAAAAATCAAAATCCGAGATACATTGGTTGCGTTTAATCATTTAACTTCAACAAATATTACATTGGACTATCAGGCAAAGAAGGTATATCTTTAACGAGAATTTTTCTTTGTAAAATTGGCTTTTGTTTATGTTAGCAGAGAAAAAATTCCGTGATCTATACATGCAATCATCAAAAGAATTTTGAGAACAGTTTTAAATGTTCATGAAGAATTAATTATACGTCAATTTCTTTTCATAGGTAAAAATTTCGTCTAAAACCATCGTTATATCCAAAAGTTGAAGTCTATTTCATTTTCAACGAATATTCTATTTGCACATAATATATTTTCTAATTTATTTTAGAAAGAGGAATCTTTCAATTTTTCAAAAGAATAAGGAAATATTGGGTGTTGACACAATGTAGTAAATCTGTTTTTCATATTTCTTCCAGTAATGTAAAACGATTACCCTGGAATATTTCCAAAGCAAAATTAAGAAATCCGTTTACGCCAAATTTTGCATAAAGTATCTTCTCGTGTAGTTTTTTATTTAAAGTGTGGAATTTTCTCTTTGAAAATATCAAAAATCATGAAGAGCAAAATTAATTCATGAGAAATAACTTTGAAATGCAATAATTCCATTGTAATATGAAATAGTGGAGAAAAGTGCAATTACAGTTTATTTATTCACAATAATCCCCCTCATATGCGTAATTTATGTACTGTCCATTGAGAAATATAGGTTAGTAAATTAAACCGGTTATTTCAATACTTTTCCTTTATCAATATTTTTTTACGGGCTCTTCAGTAGAGCGGTAAAGGTTGCTGAACACTTGTAGCTCGCTTTGGGTTTTGAATCCCGGATAAATAGTTGGATTCATGGTTTTTGTGTAACGTAAATGCAAGCCAGCTTCTCTTAGAAAGTCCTCCGCGAAAGGCATAACTCCTTCTTTTATACAGGTAATTGTTGTGGTGCTTTGATGTAATTCAGTAAGCGAAACAAAATTAATCCAATCAATACCGAAGAACGGGTTGATTACATGTTGGAGTTTTCCACCAGGAACGTAAATGCGAGCAATTTTCTCTTAAAAAACGTGTTTACACGAAAAGCATCCATCCCCTTAAGCAGATAGCGTTCGCGTGCTTTTCCGTAATCCAATCCTAATTTTCATACATTTAGTAGTAAATTGACATACACGTTATTACAGACAAAAACAACTTTTTTAAAGATATTTTTTATCAACTTGTCTGAATTCTCTCTATCTCTTGAGAGTATAAAAATTTCAGCAAATAAAACTGGCCGAAATTTTATAACATGTAATAACTGATGTTTTGATTCAATTTAGAAGTAACGTGAGCTTTACTGATATTTAAATACTTTTTGGCAGATCTCATCCTAAAAGAGGGTCTAAAGGTAAATTGATTTTATTTAATTTACAATCAATGAAAATCATTGAAAGCAATCACTGAATGAATGAAAATCACAAAAACTATTATGCATACAATTGTCTCTTATTTATTGCCTGCATAATAGAAGCACTTTGAAAGAGTTAACAGTTCTTAAGGGTTTTATGCACTCCACAAAAAAATGTCAAAATAAAATCTTATGATTCATAAGTATGAAAAGGAAGTAAACGATAAAAAAAACGGTTTTTTTTTCTAGAAGGCATCAAATCTAAAATATTAATCTATTCTTATTTGTTATGATTAAAAACATTAAATATGGTAAGCTTAAAGAGCGTGCAAAATCGCTGACGTTTTAATCATAGCAAAAGTCAGTACTAAAAAATAGCATTAAAATTATGAAACAGATTGAGAAAGAGATGGCCTCTATTTAATTTTCAAGTATATTGGCGCGAGACGAAACCTGCGGTTTCTGCCAAAATGTAGCCAAACTGATAAGAAGAGGGAAATAATGCGTAGCCAACGGCTACTCTGAGCAGCGACAATGGACCACCCAAAGATCTACAGATAGGCGATTCTCTAAAATGGGGAGGGCATGGATGGTACGACAGTCGTACCAATGCCGGCGTCTGAGAAAGTCATTCTCCTGGTACAACTGCTGTACCAGTCGGCTTCGGTTAAGGGGTATAGGTTAAGGGATATAGTTTGGCTTTACGAACTCGAAACTTCTGGATAAGAGATGTAATGGGCGGGACTATGTAAGTGACTTATTGAGGATGACCCCAAGATAAGGGACTTGCTTGGTCCAGGGAATATCAGTGCCATAGAATTTCAGGTTTTTCTTGAAGTTGCGCTTCTTCTTTTTTTCGCACGTTGACGAGGATCTTCTACCTGGAGAGCCAAGTCTCTAGCGTGCGTACGTAATTTTGTAGTCGTTGTATAACTGGACCTGGAAATGCACTTTGTGCGAGGACAGCTGTGTCATCTGCATACATAGCTAATGCTGTGTCGTGTGTGGAAGGTATGTCGTTCCCGTCAATATTAAAAAGTGTAGGTCTGAGCAAAGATCCTTTCGGGACGCCAGCCATGATGACATGGCTTGTGGAATTTGTGCCGGAGACGTGAACAACAAAGTGTCTACCTGTTAGGTAGGAATTAATAATGTTTATTATGTAGCCTGGGAAGCCCCGGATGTGTAATTTGTAAGTGAGGTCATCCAGCCAAACTCGATCAAAAGCCTTTGAAATGTCAAGGAACAAACCACTAGTCACTTTCCGGTTAGCCATTCAATCTGCAATAGTTTCTATCGCTTAGTAGAGCTGTTTGGTAGTGGAGAGATGTCTTCTGAACTCGAATTGATGCGGAATAATAACATTGTTGGAGTCCAGAAATTCGTTGATTCTTTTGAATATAATAGCTTCACATATTTTGCTTACTAAAGATAATAAGCTTATTGGTCTGTAAGATACAGGTTCCGACGCAGGTTTACCAGGCTTAACGATAGGTATAATCTTAGTTATTTTCCACTGCCGAGGAAAGTATTGCCAGTTGAGGATAATATTGCAGATTTTAGTTAGCATGAAGGTGATCTTGACAGGGAATTTCTTGATCATGTTATTTGTGATGGCATCAATACCGAAGCTTTTCCTTTTCTTGAGTCTTTTGACGGTGGCATAGACGTCTGACGGTAAGGCTGGAATGATGTTGTCTGTGCATGGATTTGTTGAGAAGGTGGAGTGAAACTGATGAACAAGGTTTTCTGTTGTAGTGTCATGTGATGAGCTAAGAGTGCTGCTTTCTCAATTACTGTGTAATGGGTCCTTTGATGGCCTTTAAGGGGCGGAATTTTTTTGTAGCATTTCGTGTACTTTTTAATGGCTTTCCATAGAGAGTTATCATCTGTGGAGAGTGCATTGAGGTATCTGGTCCAGCTTTGTTGTGCCTGAGGTGTTTAATAGAGACTTGACAGCATTCGAGAGACGACCGAATGATTGTTTATCCTCCCGGTTACGGGTACGTTGAAATTGTCTCGTACCGCTCGTATTGAATACCTGCGTTCCGCTGGGTGATCAGCTGCTTTAGCTCTTTGGTTCGGAAGATATGTCTTTTGGGAACCTTCTTCTGAGCATTGGCATGGGATCTAATAATAGATGTTGTTAAAGTCTGAATAAAGCTATCAGTATTATCCCTCTTATGTATTGTGGGTATAGTGTACTGAATGTTGTTGAGAGCTTTGGCATACCTTCGCCAGCCAGCAGTAAAGGCTATGGTGTTTGGTGAGGTATAGCTGCGAATGTCCAGAATCATTCTGACCGGGTTATGGACAGATGAGAGTTCATCCAGCACAGAAACATCCAGCAGAACCCTGGTGTTTTTGAGCAGGAAAAAGTCAATGATTCCGTGTAGGACGAGCAGTTATAGGAATCTTCAGTGACGTCACAGATAAACAAGCGCCTGGCTTTTCATTTGTTTACCCAAGTGAGCTAACCTGTTCTTTTACGCACCTTGAGTTCTGTGAATGTTCACAGAAATATTCAATATTAAAAAAATCTCAAAAATTTCTGTAAAATTCGTGAAAATAACAGCTGAAATTTCTGCGTTCATGAAAACGAATATTTCTTTGTAAAGGGGGAAATTGGAGGCTGACCCTGAAGCCGAAAATTAGTTAAATTTATTAATTTATTTGTGAAATTCTTGAGCGTTAAAAGTAAATTTTGATTGAGGTTTTGAAGACATTCAGTTTTGAATTTTTTTAGGAGTAAAAATTTTGCACTGAAAAAGTAATTTTTAAAATTGTGTTTGAAATCTGGCATTATTGTTTATTAAGCGAGGGAATTTATAATGGCCGACGCGAAGGTATCAGAAAGTGAAAAGGTTGTTATTTCGGCTGAAGTTCAAAGCTTGAAGGTTAGTACTCATAAGCGGTATAATGGTTCTGATTTCAATGTTTGAAAATTATAAGTGCAGAGTTTCTTATTGCAAGATTTTGTATTGTTGAGCATTTTTATATGTTCGTGTCTGTTTTCGCCATTCCATTCATTATTTTTATCGAAATAAATGTCTTTTGAAATATGTTTATCCTGATATAAAGTAAAATATTTTGTTTTATTTATATTTATTGTAAATTCTGATTAATTCTTAGCAAATAAGCAGTAACATTTCTTAACATATGCAGCTAATATGAGGTAATTAATTCTTAGCAAATAAGCAGTAACATTTCTTAATATATGCAGCTAATATGAGGTATTAAGATTTTGGATAAACATGAAGCCAAATACCCCTATAGAGAATGTAAGAGAAAAACAGATATTATTTGATACGCCTGTTCGTAAGAATATAGCCGTCTTGTATTCAGTAATACTGACTGTTGAATTTTCTTAATTCGTGTAGATTTAGAATTTACCATCTTATAATTGTAGGTACTGATTTTAAAAATGACATAAGAACCTGCCTTTTTGAATATGTTAATATAGTCTTACAGTCCAGCAAAATGCATTCTAATTAAGTAGACGTACATATATTTCATGCAGCTTTTAAATTAAGATTATTTTAGTTGTTTTGTAGAAGCAACATATTATTTAATATATATATTTTGTCATTTGATCTTAAATCTTCATATTGCATTTTATAATACTGCAATATGCGGGGAAAGTGCTGATTCGCCCACTTCTTGGCGCCTTTTTAAGAATTGCACATACTCTGTATCCATGTACACATCGACCTCTTTTCACTTAAAAAAACATCCCAGAATTGCACAGAAATGGCATTGTGCACTCCTTTGACGTTCTCAATGTACACATCGACTATTTTCACTTAAAAAGTCAAAGAAAATTGACAAAAATCTAAATCTTCTCTTTCTTGTAAAAAGCACCTAACGCCAATCAAATAAGTGGGCGATTCTGCACTTTAGCCCAATATGCTACCGTTTCTGGAAGTCACTTTTCACTTTTCATTTATTCTCTTCTGGAAGTCGCATTTCATTTACTCTGAACATTCTCTTTCACCTTTGTGTTTGTATTCAAAGTATTATGGACCAATAAATTAAAATTTGTGCTTTTCTTTTGATGGCATTTCATATGTTTCATCACTCATATTATGAAGTACTGCTTGAAAATATTTTGCTTGTTTTTGTGGCAATAATTAATTGTTGGAATAAAGGCAATTCCCTTAGTTTTCAGATTTCTGCATGTGCTACAAATGCAATGAAATAGTGATTGGGCTAATTCTTCTTATGCTCAACTAAAAAACAACCAAACGTTTGACGTCTGAATCGGAGTTAGGCAGATTTTTGGGTAAAAGGAATCGGATCTAAAGTCTCTAAAATCATGTCGACTCCGACTCCAGATTTTGTTGAACAGTTTGAATTTGAAATGAAATTAAAATAAATTGAAAAAAAATTTGGCAAAATGAGGTAGTATTTTTATTTATTGACTATATACATCAATAAATAGTTATTTTCTATTTTATTGACGTATTAATAAATATAAGGGAGGAGGATAGATGTGATATTTGCCATTATTTGATTAAACTTATTCATTTAGTTACAAATTCCATTGGTAAATTTAGGTAAGCAGCAAAAGCTCCCAAAATTCACATAATGGGGAAGTGCATATTTGGTGATAAAAATGTTCTTAGAATTAAGAATTTTTAAAAGGGGGTGTAGATAACTCTGCATCATTAGTAGAAAGACTGTGGAATGATCTTGCAGAATTGGAATTTCTTCTTACTACACCATATATAGCATTTATGCAATTCTGAGATTTTTTTTTTAAATAAGTGAAAATAGGTCGATTTGTACATGGATACCGAGTTTGTGCAATTCTTTGTCTTTTTATTTTGGCTTTGTGTAGCGGCGATTTAGCCTATTATGTGCAGTTCTCTGATGTTTTTTTAAGTGAAAATAGGTCGATGTGTACATGGATCACAAAACTCAGTATCCTTATTTGGCCAAGGGGTACTCTTAAATATGCTTTTACCTATTCTAGGCATAGACATCTGTAAATTTGGAAGTGTTATTTGCTTTGAAATTTACAATCTAAGCAGTTTTAGATAGTTATTCAACTTCAAAGTCGAAGTACTAATGCATCATGTATTTGAATTGCCATCTACGTAGTCGTTTGCCTGAAAGGCTATTAATTTCGTTTTGGCATTTTGCATCAAAAACTTTAAAAGTTTCAAATTGTTGCACCAAATATTATCACCCTGTATTATATTTAAAGAAATTAAATAATGAAAAATCTGTGTAAATGTATGTATGTTTCTTGCATTGTGATAAAATAACGGTACTTAAAACCATCAAATTTTGTATAATGGCATCGTGAATATGGGCATCTGGAAGCCCAAATTTAGAATTTCTTTTATTATCTATTTCATTTTTTAAAGCTTTATCATTTTTTGATTAAGAAACTCGACGTTTTCAAAGCGAGCAATGGCAACACTGTATGGAAAAAAACATTATCTCTAGTACACAAGACTGCGTATTGGGAATTCTAAAGATATGCATGCTTTAAATTTTTTTTTTTTTTTTTTTTTTTGCAATATTCCTGTTGAATTTAGTTTTATGGTTTAAGTGCAAAAAAACATGAACATAAATAAAGGTAACGTACAAAACATAAAATAAATAAATAAAAAATAATAAAAAATGGGGGGGGGGAACCATTGAGCGTAATATAAAATCTGAAAGCTTTCAGATTTTTTTAAATATTTTTTCCTCTTTTTTGAAACAGCTTTTAATACATAGATATTTTTCCTTTGATAGATTCCTGACTTGAAGAAAAGATTAGAAGCTCTTGGCTTATCCATTACTGGTAGTAAAGCTGAATTAATGGAACGGCTTCAAGCAGCTAGTATTTCTAGGAAGGGTATGCTGCGATACTTTGTAGTTTGTTTCTCATTATCACAGTGTATATAATATGTGAAAATTATATTTCATTCATAAAATATTGCAATAAATATAAAGACATTGTTAATACTACATTGTCTGTGCCTGCTATACATATTATAATGAGCATTTTTCTTTTTGGTATGTTTGTAATTTTTTAAAACTTTGTATGTTTTTTTAAGAACCAAAATAATTACATAATACGTTTCCAGACTCTTTGCAATTTGTTCTTAGTAAAAATTGGAAAGTCTGATCACTTCATAAGTAAAGTTACTGGATGTTCTGTTAACAGTTGCCCTGAAACTTTCAGGGGTGAAGCAGGTAAACAAAATAAATAAGGCAAAACAGTTGCTCGTAATACCTAAACCAGGCCATATAAAGTGGCAAATATGTAATATTTACAGTCGTGTGTCTGCAAATATGTATCTAATTGCAAGGTCATTGTATGGTAAGGCATATTCCTAGCAAGTGGCATGCTTGCCATACAGCAGTGACTATTACTTAAGCATTGAGCATGTTTGACCGCTAAAAGGTAGCATTGTGGAGTAATAAGTATCTTTTTGTTTTAATCAAATATACTTTAATTCATGTGTTCTAGTATAAACATATTGTCAAAAGTACCCACCAGATGACAAAATGCAAATGTGTGCATTGACAAATGCATTTATTGGGAATTGTTTTGGTTAATCTTTGGATTATGGTAACTTGGCAATTTTTTGGTGAAAATTTGGCAACCAACCCTGCTACAGTAACCTGCTAGTTTTTGTTTGGATGCCATTTTGTTTTCACAAAGTAAAGGCATTTTTTTTTTCTTTTTTTACTCAACATTTTTTTCCAACAATCTGCTAGCCGAATTACGCTTATGCTTGAACTTTTATGGGACAAAAGTGCTTAATCATGACGAAGATTAGGTGCAAAATTGGAAAATCGCAAACTGCTTGCCGCGTTTTTAAGAATTGCACATACACGGTATCCACGTACACGTCGACCTATTTTCACTTTAAAAAAAATCCCAGAATTGCACAAAAATGACATTGCGCACACTCTTGACTTTATCCATGTGCACTGCTAAAGTCCTAGCTAGTAACCTTTATCGCCTTGCCAAAATGTCGCCAAACTACCTGTTACCATATTCCAAAGATTAGCCATTGTTTTAACTCTAACAACAATAAAAATTTGTGGCAGTAATTATCGTAAAGTAAAAAAGAAATGTAAAAGGACACCTTCTGTCAGGAGTTGTGTTGAGTGCTGTTCCAGAACCTAACCTAACTCAAGAGAAGCTAAGTCACAGCGATTGGAGGAAGTATTTTCTGAGGCTGTTTCTCAACACTTTTGGAAGTGATGTAATAGTGATTATTTCTCTAGGTTGCAGCAGAGATCTAAGTAGTGTAAGTTGAGATCTGAAAGTTGGTGATGTGGTTCTGATTAAGAGTGAGAATATACCTCTTCTTCACTGGAAATCAGGCATACGTTTATTGAATTTTAATTAAATTTATTCATCTGCCATTTGCTGATAGGTCCTTAATTTTTTTTCATTAGTGGTCTTTAAGAGTTCTTAATTTCCATGTGCAGAAATGTGTATGAACCCTGAGAACTCTTTCACTTACAAAATATTTTTAACAATTTCTGTTGTTCATATTTCTGCTAGTTCAAAAACAAATGGTAGGTACAAGAATAGTTTCAATTCTATGATATTCTAATCTCTCATAATTACTTGATCCTGACACAATGCACATTGCATTGTATCGGGATCAAGTACCAATAAAGTATTTAATGTACTTGTATTTATGATTAATTTCTTCAGTGGTACTTTCGATTATCTGCACTGACACTGAAAAATCACAAATTTATTGCTGATTTTGAAGAGCATTCGTGAACTTGTTGGTGACTAATTTTGGTTAACTTATTTTGGAACTTGTTGTTGACAAAGCTAATGCACAAAAGGCAGCTGCCCTTTTCAAAATAACATTCGTTTAAAAAAATATCAAAGAATTATGCAAACTTAGTCCATACAACTTTGACATTTCACACTGGCCATAATAAATGCACTTGTGCTATGCACATACTGGCCTGTCACATAAATAGTTTTTGGTGACATAATGTTTTTGCCTAGTGGATTCTTTTTTTCCATTCCACGGTGGAGATGTGGGTAACAAGAAAGAAGTTTTCTAAACTGACCATTAGGCCAATGCTTAGTATTTAATATACTTGAATTATTTGCATTTATGATGTGTGGTAACCTGACCAGAAACCATAGACTAGTGCAATGTAATTTTTATTTGGTATTGGATTGATAATTTTTAGTAAAAAAAAAAGTTTGTGTTTTTGCTAGAAACTTGCTGATTTTATTTTATAAGAAACTTGAACATTTTAAGTGCCATATATATATAATATAAGGAAACCTTTAAAATTGCTTTCATTTTTAATTCATAACTTCTTAAACTCTGGTCTTGTAATCAGTGTGCTATTAAAAAGGATTAATCATATCTAAATAAATCACAGTATATAATTTATATGTTTGAGATTTTTCTGTAATTGAAATGTTAAATGTTTTATCATTCCACTCTTAAATGTGTTTACCATTGATGTAGTGTGACCAGTTGAAATGAGGGTGATGTTTTTCTTGTTATACATATATTTCCTCTCTCGAAACCAATTACTTTAGTTTTGGTTTTTCAGCTCTTTTTAGGTACTTAAATTCATGACATGTATAACATTCCCTAAACATAAGTCTTATTTCTTATTATATTTCTATTTTTATCATTATAAACTATTTCAAGTAAGTTATCTGTTGTCAGGTAATTTTTATGTCAAATCTCGTTATTTTGAAATGCTTGTACTACCTTTTTAAAATTTCTGTTAAAAATTCTAATATGAAAATTATTGATGAAGATAATGATTATGTAAAAAAAAAAAAAAAAAAAAAAACTACTCAAAAAGGGATATTATTGAAGTTATTAAAAAATTATCAGGTGAAGTAGAGCCTAATAGGAAACAGTGATCTGTGTATTAAAGTAAATGAACTTAAAAAGGTTTTTAGTGGGAAAAATTGGATATCAATAAGCTAATATGCAAGGAAAAATTTCAGTTTAAAAATGCACAAATGTTTTGTAGCTTTTAACATATAATTTATTGTTCTAAGATTTTTGAAACCAACATAATAAAATGTATGTAAAATTATGTATTACTTCTAAACTTCAGTGTTGCCATAGATTGGGATTTTCATCACACTTTTACTTCTTAATAACATTTTAAAAAAATAAATGAATTTTTAATAGTGGTCAGGTTAATCTTTAATATATATGTTACTATTGAAAGTGTATAATATAAATGTTTCAGGGCATTGTTTCTAATTTAATGTTAATTACTTGTTAATTAATTCTTAGGGAGTTAAGCTTATTCTGACATTTATTTTATGATTATATTAAATTATACACTCATGTCCATAAATTCAGGATAATGCAAAATCAGGCAAAGGAAGAGTTAGAAGCAAAACAAATTTGACTTATTTGTAAAGCGTATTTATTAAACAAAAGGTAAAGAGCAAAAAAGATGCTATATGTTTGATATTATTAAAAAAATTAGCGATTTTTTTTTTTTCTCCCTGGAGCAAATTACAAAAAAAAACCTATTTACAAAAAACCAATATTACATTGTTGGTATGATTGTTAATACATTGTATGTCTCCTAGACAATGCAATAGAGTCCATACAACGCCTAGGCAGAGTATCAAATTATCGATCTGATCTTGGAGGATATTACGCCACTCAAAAAGCAATGCTCTCCGAAGTTCCGGTAGACATGTAGGAGAAGGTTGACAGGCTGCAACTCGTCGGCCAAGCATGTCCCACACATGCTCTACTGGATTCAAGTCCGGTGAGAATGCTGGCCAGTCCATATGGGTGATATCCTCCAATTGAAGGCATTCGCTTACAATGTTTGCATGGTGAGCACAGCCATTGTCATCCATAAACACAAATTGTGTGATGTTTTCTTGGTGGTAACGGGTACCTGGAGCTCTCTATATGAAAGTCCGGCGAGAATCAGACTGCAAGCTAAACCTGGACTCGTCGGAAAACATCACGCAAGCCTACTGTTGCGGTGTCCACAATGCATGCTCTCTACTCCAGGCTAGCCGCAGGCGACAGTAAGAGTTGCAGTAAGTGGAACGCATCTGACAGGTCTACGAGCATATAGACCAATCTGCCCTAAGCGTCTGTACACGGTCTGCCGTAAAATTGTTGAACCAGTGGCTGAAGAGAACTGATGAGACAGGTCTGAGGCTGTGCTCCACCTGTTTCTTTTTGGCGTTGTAACTCTGGGGCGACCTGTGCTGTAATGTCTACTCACATTACCATAATCTTTGAATCCTTGCCAAATCCTGGAGATGACACTCTGGGCAATTCCAAGTTCGTCTGATACTTCCAGTTGGGTACGCCCACATTCCAGACGGCCGATAATTCTACCACGTAAAAAATCATCCAAATGAGTCCTTTGTGTCATAACTATTCGGTTATTCAACTGAAATGCTTATAAAGTGCCTGCGAACAATTTTACTTCTTTGCCTGTATTCTTTATATATCACTCTCTTACACTCTCGTCATTGTGACGTACCATCGGTGTCATCTGGTTACTTCCTGAAGTTTGCATATGATTCTTGAAGATGTGTGTAGTGATTTTACAGGTGATATATTTATTTTAGAGTTCGATTTCCGCATGACTTATGGTCATGAGTGTATTTAATAATAATACTTTTTGTATACTTTTCTTTCTTATTCTTAGATTGATATTAGAAATGAAGCTGTAGTTCCATAGAAATTGGTTTATTTAATCCCCATTTACTGATATATCCTTAATCTTTTTTGTTAGTTGTTCTTTAAAAAAATTAATAAAACTTTGACGATTCTGAATTTCCATGTACATTTGTCTATTGAAACCATGTGCATTGTACAAATTTAATTATTAAAAAATGGCAAAAGAAATTTAGTTATAGGTTGGGAAACAGAGATGCTTTTATGTCTGGAGCTGCTCTGAATAAATGCATGGGAGTCAGATGAGCAATGTAGGAATGAATACCATTGTTGCACCATATACCATCACCACTATTTTCATCCATAGAAATAGCATCTATTTCCAAATCAATGCCCCTGTATATTAAACTTTCGTCATTTTGGATAAATAATCTACCTGATCACTGTACATGATAGTGTAATGAATGTAATGTATAACCACAAACCAAAATATATGAATATGTACAATATAAGATGAACAAAATCTGTATATTAAACTTTCGTCATTTTGGATAAATAATCTACCTGATCACTGTACATGATAGTGTAATGAATGTAATGTATAACCACAAACCAAAATATATGAATATGTACAATATAAGATGAACAAAAGTATGTTACAGTAGGTTTATGTAAATATGTCACAAACATGAAAAAAAAAGTACTGACCATTTGGTTGACACATATGGGCACCAAATTTAAGCTCTTACAAATTACCTTCACTGTATGCAGAATTTTTATTACATGTGCCATTATGGAGGTAATTGTTGACAGTGATTTATATTTGTTTAGCATGATCTTGGATAAGTTTGAATACATTTTAGAGACTGACAAGCTGTGTTCTTTCTTAAGTACACAATGTTCTTCAAGAGAGACCATATTTCTCAAAATGCATTCAGCTTCACCTCAAAATAAATGTTTAAAAAAAGCATCAAATTGTTTGGTGAATCTTCGGATTATGGTAACTTGGCGATTTTTTGGCAAAAATTTAGCGATCAACCCTGCTAGTTTTTTTTTTTTTTTGGACGCCATTTTGTTTGCACGAAGTAAAGGCATATTTTTTTCGAACTGTGTACTTCTCAGATTATTGCTTAAGTCCTACCTAGTAACCTTTATCGCCTTACCAAAATGTCGCCAAACTACCTGTTACCATATTCCAAAGATTAGCCAATTGTTTTACTATTAGGATTTAGATTCATTGTAACATGTTTTTGATTTCAAATGTACTTATTAGCCAGAGTTTGGCTTCAAAAGTCCATTGGTTATATATAATTTTAGTTTTTCAAACTGTAGTCTTGCTTTTATGTACTTTTGTATACTTTTTATGCAAGATTCCCCTTTTGATCTGCATTTTCTAGTTTTTTAATTTCATTTTCAATTTTCTCCTTTTTTTGTTTTGTTTTGTTTTGTGAAATAGCCTTAAACTTTTTATTGGAGTAAATTATGAGGAAATTTTCCTCCCTCTCTGTGTTTTGTCCACACTTGATAGATATGCTGTAGTTTTAAATTTATTTTTTAAAACATTCAAAAGTCATTAATCCGGACTTGTCGGGACTTCGGCGATTCCGGATTATACATCATCAGTTTAAATCTCGTAAGATAACATGCAGAAATTCTAAAATTAAAAATATGAAACCTTAATTTATGAAATAAAGGACAATTATGATCTAAAGGGTATCAAAATTTACAAAAAAAAAAAAAAAAACTTAATATTTATTTGTTTACTTTCAATGTAAGTTGTTTAAGTTGCTTCGTTTTATGTAATAATACTTTGTCTTTAATTCTATAAACAAACATAATTTCTTGTTCAGTTACAAAGTTCCGCTGTTCAAGTCCCGTAATTGCTGTGCCGAGAATACCGACTAACTTGTCAATCGAAAATTTTTCGTTTTCACTAACCTCTCTGTCACCTTCTTCATGTCTTTACCCATTTTTTGCAGCAATTCCACTTTTTGTTTGATGGACATCGAAACATACTTTCATTTTGTAGATCCTTTGGGAGCTCCAGCATCGGAAATTCTATTTGACATAATCGAAAGTTCAAGTTTACTTTTATAAATTTGCTCTTACAGTCTGCAAAAAATAATAAGCCGAATCCAATTTGAAGATTAAGGAACAACTCAATCTTCAACATTAACTGAAATAGATAATTAGATAATTTTAGCTTATACCATCCGTTATACATAAAACGCGCACACGAAAACGTATTCTGCGCTTGCATATGCGCAGTCGTAAAGGTCTTATGCATACGCGTAAACGGCTATGCGCATGTGTCAACGTGGCGCATGCGCAGAAAGTTTTTAGCTTTGAGGTCCGGATTATGGGTGTCCGAATTAATGACTTTTGACTGTAGTAAATTCCAAGACTTCCTCAATTTGTGATGCATGTTTAGTTAGAGTATTCAAGCCTTTTTTTTTTTTTTTTTTTTAAACTAAGTTTCATTTTTGAGTCAGGTTAAATTAGGAAAATTTTTATATCCTTGTTTTTTCCACCATATTTTTTGGTTATACTGTTGATTAAATTTATTCAAACTATGATTTAATTTGACTTGTATAAGATAAATACTATTTTAAAAGTTCATATTAAATTTTTTACTCTGTTTACAAGATATTTATAAGAGCTGCTAGAATAAGAAAACACAAACTTAAAATTTTTGTTTGTGTATTTTCTTAGGGCAAAAATTTAAGCCTTTAAATTAGTATATTTTCTGAGATTCCATTCCCAATAAACATGTTACCATTAAAAAAGCCAATATTCAGTGTATTTCCTGATCCTTCATGTTTTATCTCGTAAAAAAAGCAAATTATCATTTAGGTAAGGATTTTAAAAATAGCCTTAGTTTATCAGCAGTAATGTTTTAATTGAATTAAATTCTTCAAAGAATTTCTTTAATTTATTTCAGTCCATTGATAAACTATTGCCTTTGTTCCAGAGGTAATTTTACTACATTGTTTTTCTTAGATCATTTTGTTATTTAAAGTTCTGTTGTCAGCCATGTGCAGTTTGCAGCTAATATTGAGTATTTAGCAAATGTTACCTTTAAAATGTATTAGTCAATAATATTTTATATTCATCTTCCGTTTGCTGATATGCAGCTGTTCCTAGAAAAAGTATTTTTTTAGACTCAGCAGTTTACTGATTTCAATAGCTTTTAGTTTTGGTTCTCAAAAAACTTAATTACTGATAACAGAGCTGCCACTGAAATCTGAGAAAGATTTCAATGAAAATAAAGGAAATTTTATGCATGTTTTTTACCTTTCAAGACAACTGAAATTATTCTAGTATTTAGCACAAAAAAAGTTTGAGCAAAATGATTAGAATCCTTTTTGTTATTTTCTAAGATTAAATTTCAGCATAATGTAAAATTGATTTAAATTTGATCATTCTGTCCCTCTTTTTTTTAAAAAATATAGTAATAGTTTTGAAGTGCTGTGGGCTATTTCATAGATAATCACTCTGATGGCTGTTTAGAATGGGGTCAATGCAATTAGAAAGTGAGTGGAATCTATTTCTTTGAAGGCTGAGACATGCAATTACCTTATTTTTATTATATAATTTTGGCTGACAGAAGGTTATGATATTGAAGAATTGCATCAAGCTAAATGAAATGTTAAATGGGAATTTCTCATGGAGCTTTATATCTCGAATTGTTGCACAAACAAATGAGAGTGTATAATTAAAATTTATTAACTGAACTTCAAAATCTGAATGTGGAATAAATTGTGAATAGCTTATACAATATTTTGTGTCAAGAATTATTTTTGCATGTTCTCCCTGTCTAAAATATATCCCCCCTTGAACACTTCAAAAATTTAATTTGCTTTTCCTATTTTAGATGTTTCATTTTTAACAGTTGATCCATTTGCTGATGAAGGTAGATCTGATTCATTTGATGATGGAAATAAACCTGCAGAAGATGATTCTTGTATTTCTTTACAAGATAATGATCAGTCCTTATTTTCATCTGAAGGTGATTCAATGAGAATAGTTGATAGTTCAATAGGAGACTCAAAATTGAGTACAGATAACCCTCCATCCAAACCTTTGAAAAAAAGTACAAAAGGGACTGAAAGTACAGTTACTAGGAAAAAAATTCAACTGACTAGGACTAATGTTATTACATCTACTCCTAAATCTTTATCTCCTGTGAAATCAACATCTATTATAAAAACAACACAAGCAGGTGGCAAGAAGAAACTGTCACTGAAAAGCATGACAGATGATGAGGTAAGTCTCATTCCATTGGTAATGTCTGGAAATTCTACAATATTGCTGTTTTGTTGTTAATATTTCTTGAAAATTTTAAGTAATTTAAGTAAAATACAAATTCTCGGTTTCAAATTTTTAAGATGTTATTTAATTGCAGTTTAATGCACAAGCTAACTTTATTCTTCACACAAAAAATTCTCAGAAACAAGATTTCCATTTCTTGAATACTTTGGTTCCTTGAAGTATGTAATTGGAGGGGGTGGTGGAATAGGGAGTTAAATATTGAATTAACTTTTAAGTGGAGTGTTTCTCTGAGTCCTTCTTAAGCAGTGTGCATTATATGAATATGTTTAACCCTAAGAATTTATAATTGGAGTTTCAAGAAAGGAAATCTGAAAGGATTGAGATTTAAACATAATAATAGAAGTTTTATTAATCTTTTTAAGTGCTTCTGTTAGGTTCACAATTTGTATATCTGCTCTTGGACTCACTCCTGCTGATATTACTTTTTGTCTTTTTAACTTTACATCGTTAAATAAACTTATTAAACATTTTCTTCACACTTATGCCACATAAAATTCAAAAGCAAAACCCCAGGCTGTTTTAGGAACAGCATAATTTAGAATTCTCAGTTCAGTGTCATGCAGTTCCCAATGTATTGCCATAAATATTTTATCTCAGAAGGATTATTATCCTCAAACCTTACTTTTGTTGTCTGTGTCACTTCAGATATTTAGTCTATGGCACAATCAGTCACCTAAAAGAGTTACTTTAACTAAGAAAATATATGTAATGCTTTTAATAAATCCAGCCAATGTGATTTCATGAATTCCAGTGATAATTAATGAAAATGTTAAATGACTGCATTTATTGCTTTCAAATTGCCTAGTTTGTTAATAACTAGCAGTAAAAAAAGGGAAAAAAAAAAAAAGTTTTAAAAGTTCAAAAGAAAAAATGTTTACACTTCTCTAAGTGGCACCAATATGGCACACTGAAATTAAAAATATTTTATATCCGATAGAATACTTGATAAAATGTTAAATGTTGGCATATTTTTTTTTAATGTTCACTCTTATTTCTTTAAAAATAATGCATGGCAATAATACAAATATTTATTTCATAATTTGTACTTTATCTTAATCAAATATGATGTGTGAGCTAGTATTGAAGTAATTTTAAGAAAATTAAAATAGAGATTATTATGAGTTTGCTACTGTCACATCTGCAGTTTTAGAACCTATACCTATAGTTGCATTACTTTGTATTTTCAAGTTTTTATTTGAGGGTGATTATTAATTATTGAAAGATGTTTTTGTGTGAAATGGCTTTTTGTATATAAATATTGATTATGCTTAATTTTTCATGTTTAATTTATTAAATTTTCGATGTAAAGAATCATTAAATGTTAATTTTCCACCCTCATTTATTTAAGATATTGAACATTTAAATGGGAAGAATGGCATTATATGTGATTTTGTGCTGTAATGTTATATTTTTGTTTTAATTTTAGAAAAGTCATCCAATTAATGGCTTCATGACATTATTTTAAAAGAATGTTAAGAGTTTACTGTATAATTTCTGAAAATTTCAAAATTTTGTATTCTAATGCATTTTTAAATGTTGCAGTTTTAAATCATAGATCTCAAATAGTCAATTAAATTGAGAGATTTTTAAAAAAAGGGGACAGTTCTACATCTCCTGTTCTACTGGGTTGATTGATGAAATTCATGTCTCAAAAGCACAGCTTAGGATATGTGTTAAATTTATGTATAGCATTGTTCTAATATAGGTACAGTAGAAGTCCGATAATCCGGCACGTTCGGGACCGGCTCGGTGCCGGACTACCGAAAATTCCGGTCTATCGGGCGGTAATTATAAGAACAATTAGGTTAATAATTAAACTAAAAATACAGTATGCAAATACATACAACAAAGTTTATTTTGCATTTCATATAATGTATGTACACGTACTGTAAAACATATTTCACTTAGATTTAAAAAAGTCACGAATGTCTTTTTGTTTTCTTGACTTTTGGCGTTTAGTATAAAATTTATTTCTAATGATATAGAAATCAATAATTTCTGAAGCACTGTAGCTAGTACTAGCCTCTGCAAAAGAGATAAACTTATTTAGTGATTCTGCAGCTTCTGCCCAGCTGATTTTTTCCTTTTCTTCCGTTTCGGCGTCTGAGTCATTTTCTTCAAGAGTAGCAACAATATTTCCAGAAACTAACTCATCTACTGGCGGATGGGCTTTGCAATTGTCCAAAAGAAGGATGGCTTTAGTGTCTTCTGGTAGACCAAGGCTTTTGAAGGATTCCTTGACCTCAGGCACAAAGTGGTGAAAAAACCAGTCTTTAAAGAGGGCGGCAGTTATCCACGCATTTGATTGAGCATCGTATTGGACAGGCAAGTGTGTAACATTCTTAAAATCCCTGGGTTTTGCAGATTTACCTATCACAAAAGGGGTCACTCGGTGGTTTCCAGACGCATTAGCACATAGCAAAACGGTTAATCTGTCTTTGTTTTTTTTTTTAAAACCCTTGGCTGCTTTTTCTCCTCCCCCAGCTAGTGTAGATGTTGGTAAACATCGCCACAATAGCCCTGTTTCATCAGCATTGTAAATCTGTTCAGGTGTTAAATCATTATCAGCCACGATTTTCTCAAACTCGTCTTTGTATTTTTCTGCAGAGTTTTGGTTTGCTGAAAGGGTTTCTCCAGTTTCATCAAGTCTTCGAATTCCATGCCGAAACTTAAAGTTTCTGAGCCAACCATCAGAATAACATTCACTTTCAGCAACTCCTAAATCTTGGCCGAATTTCTTTGCCTTTTCAACAATCATTGGCCCTGTTACCGGCTTTCCTTCAGAACGTACTGCACTAAACCATTTGAACAATACACTATCTAGCTGTTCCAATTTTGGTTTTTTTAATGTTTGTCTAGAAGCCAATTTTTCAGTTGTTTCCGATTGAGAAGCAAACTTCATTAGTTCATCTTTTGTTTTTTAATGTCATAAATAGTTGATGAGCCAATATTAAACTCATTCATTAAAACATTTCTATTCTCGCCTTTTTCTAGCCGTTTGATGATTTCTAGTTTCTGATTGAGAGCCAGTGTTACGTGTTTTCGTTTCTCTCCTTTTGAACTCGAAGGCTTAGGTTTTGAAAACATGGTCACTGTACAGTTAGAACGAAAATCACTTTTTTTTTATAAACAGTTTCAAAAGTTACGTTTACTGCGATGTGAAAGGACACAAAACAACAACGCACAAAAAAAATGGCGAAGACGCTTCGTGATTGATTAACGGAGCTGCACTGCACCTGAATTTGTTGTGACGGCTGAGACTAGCCGGCTGCTAATTGTTTCCGAACAATACCGAGCGCTTCCGGATGATCTCGAACTACCCCGAAAACTTTCGAATAGCTCTCGAGCGGTTTTATTTGCTTTAAAGACACACTTTTGGAGAAAACCAAAATTTTTACAATTTTCCGGAGCGATGCCGGACTATCGGGCATTCCGGACTGTTGAATGCCGGACTAATGGACTTCTACTGTATTTTGACACAAAATCAGACTTTTTCTGAAATTACATGCTATTTTTTTTTCCCCTGTATTTCAATTGTACTACTAAAATTGCTCCAAATTGCTGAGTTTTGTAAAAATCACACAAGTCGTTTTTAAAAAATTAGCTCTCAAAATTTTAGCTCCTCAATGGTAATTGAGTTTGGTACATATTTATTAATATCTCTTTTTTATTAAACTTATTTGATACTTCCTTTCACATTTTGAAATTTAGGTTCATTCCAAATAACACTCGCCCATTTTTAAAATTCGTATTTTTAAATAATTTTTACAAATTTTTCGAAAAAATTTTTAATTATAATCTATAAAATTTTTACCATCATCTTAAAGTGGATGTATTTCTAAGCACATCTGAAAAAAAATTAGTTTTTTATTCAAAATTTCCAAAAATATAAGTGAATTTATATATTGGTACGTTTTGAAATCTGCATATTTGTTGAAAGCAATAAAAACATCAAATATGGTTTAGGCACTTTGTTCAAATTTTTTGAAAGTAGGAACTATGTGCTCATGCACAATGTAAAAAGGTAGGAACGATGTGACTTTCTTCCGCTCCTGCTCAATGGAATGGAAAGGAAAGTAGATTGCCATATATTAAGGAGTTCGCCAAGTGAATTATTCTTGGTGCAAACTTGGGGGGGGGGGGAAATGCATCAAGATAAATTTTTGAATTTCTCCATAAATTTTGCACCAAATTTAACAAAATTTAATATTTAAGCGTAATTTGAGTCGTAGAATCAAAATATGGAGAAACATTGGTATCATTGGTATGTTATTTCAGAAAAGTCCCATTTTGTGTCAAAATACCTATGTTAGAACAGTGTTATATATAAATCTAATATATATCCTAAGTCGTGCTTTCGAGACATGAAAAATGCAATTTGAATTTCGTCAATCGGCGACAGTAAAGTGTAAAGTAAGTGGGAGATATAGAACTGTCCCCCCCTTTTTTTGCGCAGTGTACCGGAACTTACTCTTCACAGCATGGTTTTTGGCTATATATTTATCATGTGTGGCCTTATTTTCGGTTTGTGTAACTATGTTAGTTCTTTTTTTGTTAGAGCAAGAAAATTTGGAAATTTTTTCACTATCTATTTGAGGTTTTTTGCCATAAGTTCTAATGTTGTTGATCATAGTATTCTCATCATTTAAAATCCTCAGTAGATGTTTTGTTTTGACATGATGTGATTTCACTGTATTGTCACGTTTGTTGAAATGTAAAAAATGTGGCAGTGCTAAAGTATAATTCCTATTGATAATAATAGTATTTTATTTATGTGTGTGAATGTTTAAATGAAGCTTAAAAATATTTTTTTTTTTTTCATGTTTGAAAAATTGCTGCCATAGTAAACATGTTCTCTAAAGTTTATAAATTTTTTTATTTTTAAATTTTAGAGATTAGCAATGAGGGCTAAAAGGTTCAATGTTACACCATCTGCAACTTCTTTTTCTAAGTAAGATTTAAGATACATATTTAACTTTTTTTGTTTAACATGATTACTTTCTGAAAAACTTAATTTTTAATTTTAATATTTTACAATTTTAGATCTGAAAAAACTTTAAGAAGTTCCAGATCTGTTGGCTTAACCAGTACAAGTACTGTAAGTAGCAGTTTGCATCTCATATGTGCATGATCTTTTAAATAATATTTTTTATCTGTGGAAAGACTGTATAAATTTATTTGGTTACATTTTTGCTTGGTGACAAAAATGTGCTGAAATTTCTCCATTAGAATTGCATAAAGAAAGGCAGAAATATGTAAAGTAGATCAGGTTAGCACTAAAAAAGTAAGAGAACTTGAAATTAATAATAAAAGAAAAAAAAAATGCTTACAATCATTGGTTGAACCAATTGAAGTGGCGCTTAACGCTATGGGTGAAAAACAAGCCACTTTACAAACAGCATATATTTCTATCAACTTTATGCGAGAGAAGTTAACTGAACAAGAATCTGAAATAAGTAGTTCTCTTTCTGAAACTATTGATTTTTACATCAATAGCAAGATCAACAAAAATATCATAGATTTGAATTCACTAAACAACTTAAATAAAACATCATCAAAAGCTTCTATAGAACTAGCAGCTGCTTTGATGAAGCATTTATTTCCGTCACCAGATTCATCACCAAATTCATCAAATGAAAAATCAAGCAGTGAAGCCGAAACAACTACCAAAGTTGGTGCTTCTCTTGAAGAACAACTTAAAGTACTATTAGAAGCTCCAACCAGGAAACTACCGAAAGATGACCGCTTTAAAAAATTAAGTCAAGAATTTACTTTGTCAAAAAGTAATGGTGAATTGACTGTAAATTTAAAGTGGTAACTTGAAGCTATTAACAGTATAAAAACAACGTCAATTATTTCTGAGAGGACATTTTCCGTGGCCAACAATTTTTGCACCAAAATTAGGTCGAAGCTATCAGATAAATCACTACATGCACTGGTGTTTTTAAAATATTTTTCATTAATATAAATGCATAAGTAAGGAAAAAGGTTTTTTTAAATTTCTAAAAAATATTATTTGAATTATAAGTCCATTATAAGTCTTTTGATCATGTAATTCTGTCAACTTTAAATGCTCGAAAGCCCCCCCCCCCAAAAAAAAACAATCAAGCTCGAGCTTAACTGAGCTTCAAATCATCGAGCTTTACCAAACCCTAGCCAGCCCCAACAGTATGCAGTGTTTGTGCCCGTCATCCTGAAAGTTTTAAGAAAGAAAAAAAGCTCAAAGCAAATTATTATGATATTTATAAGATTTAGCTATGGTAGCTGATGTGTATATTGTGTCTGATAATTGCATGTTGTTAAAAGTCAACAACATGCAGTTGTCAGATTTTATTTTTTAAGCTTTATTTTCATAATAAATTCCTGGGCCCACCAGCGGCCGTGCGGTAAAGTCGCTGAACACTGGTAGTTCGGTCCGAGGTTCGAATCCTGCTAACGGGCTGGCTACATGGGTGTTTTCGTGGTTTTCCCCATGTGTAACGTGTATACAAGCCAGTTTCCCTTAGAAAATCCTCCACGAAAGGCATCCCCCCCTCTTAGGCAGATAGCCCTAGTGTGCTTTGCCATAATTAAATACACACACACACACACACACACATAATAAATTCCATCTTCATAGATAATGCAATCGTATGCCACAATGTAAAAGGTTAAATATACTATGATTTTTATAGTTTGATGAATTTTTATTGTTTGTATTGTTTAATTTTCTAGTTTTGATGATATAAAAGTAGGCACATACATCTATATTAAGATATTTACATATTTTTATATTTTGCATATTTATAACTCTTGCAATTCATAGACGGTATTTAGAAATTTTTTCCTCTTTTTTAAACAGTCTGCTGATTTAGCGGTCCTAAAGAAAAGAGCTGAGAGGTTTGGTCAAAATGTGTCTTCAGTTATGAAACAAGTATGACCTTTCCTTATTTGTGAATCTTAATTCTTACATATTTGACAAGTAATATATATGTTATATGATAAGCAAAGCAAATTTTTTTTATAAGCTAACATTTATGATTAACAATAGAATTGTGTTTAAGATACCAAATAACGAAATTTAGTCAAAAAATAATGAGACTTGAATTGAATTTTATGAAGTTATCATGATAGGGGCAGTTTTCATGGCAGTCTCGTATGATCTTTTTCAAAAGCACTTAACACAGCATTTGTAGTATTCTTGGAGTATGTACTGGAAATAATTTCTCGACATATGTTTAAAACTCCCTCTATATTCTCCATTTAATGAATCAAAACAGGCCTTGAAGATCTGATTTTTTAGTTGAGGAAATAAAAAATAATGAACAGAGCCAGAATTTTTGGCATATATCTGATCTTTTATCACAGCTAAATAATGGACAGTGATACTGGAAACAGAAGGCATATATTATTCTGATGTGAGCATCAGAGGTTGTTTTTATCAGACATATTCGGTCAGGTTCTTTCATACTGTCGCTTAATATTGGCCAGGAACCAGCTGTATGGCCGAACATCACATATTGATAAATATTTTATGGTAACAAAAGACATAAGCATTGTTCTTTGCTGACTTTACAACTTTGAGCTTTTTGAAGTGGGAGTGTTGTGTTTACCTGTTTGCTTTTGGTGATTATTATGGGATTAGCTAACATCAGTGGCTATATGTATGGATTTTTATCATGTATTAATTTTCAAACATCAGTTTTTGCAGTTGATCAGAATTTTACTATCAAAGTACTTGATTATATTGATGAATTTTTAGATGACTCTTAAATTTTACTATCAAAGTACTTGATTATATTGATGAATTTTTAGATGACTCTTAAATTTTAGTATTATTACATTAAATGTAGATTCACTTAAAAAATACCTCTAAAAAATTCTATTAATAAATATTCAACATAACATGGATTTTATAATAGTTCATTAAATAAAATTATTAAATTATTTAAAATTCAGTTTTAGAATATTATAATAGATAAAACTAATAGTTAACTGAGAAAAACCACAAGTAGTTCTGCAGAAATCTCTCGCTACGTTAAGTTGTTTTTGTACAGGCACTACACTATAATGATCTCGGGAACAATGGACTGTATTATCTCACTTTTATTCTCATTAATTTACATCGTTCATGGCCACTTGTAGCCACGAATTCTCTCACACGCTCTTAGCTCACAATCTCATGTCACAAACTCCAAGAGCTTAAAAGTGCATGCGTAGATGCTAAGAATGAAATTCGTGCACATGCGCAACATACCACCCGCCTTGACATGATGTAATCATTCAAAATGAAATCTTGGAATAAAATTTTACACAGTGTGACAATACAAAATACAGGTAAATAATTGTAAATATCAAATAATAACATCAAACTACTATAATAAGAAAATACAATAATTAATAACATACTTTTTGTTTAATTTGGCATAAGTAAAACACAAACTTTATTAATTGATCTCTTAAAAATACCTCCTTTTGTTTTCACTGAAACTACTCTAACCTTATTGTCTTTACCTAAGTATATCTCTATGATTCTGCCAAGAGGCCAGTTACATACAGGGACTCAGGAACAATGGACTGTATTAATATCTCACTTTTATTTTCATTAATTTACATTGTTTATGGCCACTCGAAGCCACAAATTCTCTCACACGCTCTTAACTCACAATCTCATGTCACAAACTCAAAGAGCTCAAAAGCGTATGCGTAGATGCTAGTAATGAAATGCGCGTGCAACACAAGTATCACAGTTTCCCTAACATTACACCAAAAATGAAAGCACAGTTATATATAAATAATAGAGCACATTAATCTTTTAAAATAGCATTTCATGTAGGATGTGTTAAATGACTGTCTATTGTACAAGCAGAAAATTTTAAATTGGTGCAGTGCCTTGTCAAAAATTAAAACTTTCAGAGGTAAATTGCACTATGCACAAATGTAAATTTGCCCAAAGAATTTGTTAATGATTATATTCCCAAGAGTAAAGTTTTGAACTGTTATAAATTACTTCAAGGATTTTCAAGAAGCATGTGTATAATTTCTTAACTCTGTAGAGTACAAAGTCTGAGATCTGGAAGCATTGAGACTGGCAGTTTTGAATTTTGGAAATTTCCACATTTTAGATCATCAGTTTAAATCTAGTAGGATGATGTAGAAATTATAAAATTAAGAATGTGAAATAGTTGTTTATGGAAGAATGAAGTGTGTGACTGTAAGGGGATTAAAAAAAGCTTTATGTATTTGTTTTATCTTTTCGATACAAGTTGCTTCATTTTTTGTGCTAATGCTTTTCAGTTTTAAAATAAAGCTAATTTTTTTGTTCAGTTACAAGTTCCACAGTTCCAAGCTGTGTAATTGTCATGTCAAGAATTCTCACTTAACTATCAATCAAAATTTTTTCTTTCTCAACAGCCTCAATCACTTCTGTCTATCCTCTGTTTTTATCGGTAGCAAGATTTTCTTGATTTAGAACCATACTACAGATTTCGCACCATCCTTTAGTTGATTGATGATTGAAGCATTATCGTCATCAATCACAGTGAAAAACTTTTATATCATCTTCATTTATTACCACTTTTCCACATTTCTTCATAAATTTTATTAATTGGGTAATTTTGCCTTATGTGTGTGATATCTAAAAACTTACAAATTTGTGGCTATCATCATCATGAAATGTGGTAGCTGGCTATAGAATTATGCAAGTCATATTTTAAAATATCAGCAGATGCAGTTTCCCATGACTTTGCAATGCTCCGCTCAGCAGATTTTATGTAAAATATTTTAATTCTTGACTGGTCTTGTGACTGTTCAGAAAATTTAGCATGGATTTTATATCTGCATTTCAGCACACAAAGCGTTCCAGTATCCATATGCTGAATGATAGATGTACAATTTGAAGAAAAGAATAAGACAGGGTTGTTATCTTTTATTTATAAGTTACTTTCTAAGTATGAGCAGAACAGTTGTCTGCAATCAGAAAAATATCATCCGGTAAACCAAATGATTTCGAATGCTGCCGAACCTTGAGTATAAAGTAGTTTTCAAACCATTATTTTCATTAGTGTTTGTGTAATCCATGTTCTTTTATTTGAATGATAGATGACGGCGAAAAAGTTAACCTATTTTAATGTCTTAAGTTTTGTATTTTTTCCAATTACAAAAAGTTTACATTTGCACGTTCCTGCAGCATTGTGTTAAAATTGCTGTTTTGGCTTTAGAATTTTCGGCAGCAGTTGGGGTTTTATCTGCAGAGACTGCCAAAATAGTCTAGAACACTCATTATTAGAAAAGACCAGTTTTATTAGCATTGTAAATTCGTTTTGGAGGTAACTTTTCACTATCGATAAACTTTGATTAATTTCACCTACAAATAGTTGAGCTGCATTAGCATCAACTGAATATTTCTCACCTGTTTTAACTGCATTATTCCATGGTGGTTTTTTAAATTTGGTTAATCATCCTGTCATATGTGCATTGCGTTTTCAAGTCTTTATGAAATATTTTAGCTTGAGCAATTGACGTTGGGCTCTTCAATAGCATGTCCTCACTGCAGTGCTCTCACCCATTCAATTATCCTTTATCATGATTGTCACTTTTAGCATAATGAATAATTTTTCTGCTACTCATTGCAAGTAGATGTCAGGAGTCAATTAAAAGTTCCTCTTATTTATGTTATGTGTAATACTCGCACTTAGTAAAATCACTTCTGTTCCAAAAGTTTGTTAAGCATATAAGTTTAATAGATGGCAATTCGTCTGTTACAAATTGTCATATCAGTTTAAATTTTTCAAGAAAAATAATAACTAACAATTAATTCATTAACCCTTTGACGGTTATGGAAATGAGCAGTTTTCATTTACTTAATTCGCGCAGCATTAGGAGTAAACAGTAGTCGAAAGTGGCAGCTGTTCCCCCCGCCGTTCTTCCGAAAATGTCACCTTTCTCTGGCGATGCCGTAGATAGCTCGCCTCGCGCGTTTTAAAAATTTCTTAAAGTATTTGTAGTACATAAATAAGTTTTTACGTACTTTAAAATAATTATTAAACAGTAAATTATAAATGATTATAACCAATTATATGAATAATAATAGTTAATTATAAATATAAGACAAATATTAAATTGAAAGGACTAAATAAATACAACTAATGTAAAACTTTATGAAGCACAATATAAATACATAATATATAAATTACATAATATATAAATATATTTACATAATATATAAATATATAAATACATAATATATAAAATATAATAAATTACCTAAAAATCTTTTTGTGTGTGATATATTTTAAAACATGGAATTGCACATAATGGGGCATTATGCAAAAATGTTGGTTTCCGTAACAATATGATTTATAATCTCATCAGTAAAAAACAGCTCAAAATACTCTAGTGGATCAGAAATATTTGTCATGCAAGCTTTCATGCCTACATCACCAGTAAAACTAAATCGGCTAGGAGCGTGAGAACTTGAATCAATTATACAATACCCACTGTGTCGAACACTCGAAAAATCTTCCTCATCGCTTGAATCGTCTTCTGAGCTTGAAGTACTGTGAACAAAGTCTTCATCAGATTTAAAACTTGATAAGCTTTCTGTATCACAATCATAATCATCATCATAACTATCTAACTTTCGCTTTTGAGCCATTTTACTGTACAAACACCCTAAAAACCGTGCCAAAATACGTATAAAATGAACAAGGTCAAAAAAAAAAAAAATCCACCTTCATTATGCAAAGAAATTCATGGAACTCGTACTGTCATCTGTAGACAGTAAAACTAACTAAATTTCGCGAGTAGCATTTGTTTGAAACACAATCAGTGCAGAATAATAATGGCGAACAAAGTCAGCTCGTCAGCACGCATTGGGGAAAAATTTCACTGCGCGAGTAGTGCTCGTTACTAACCATTTCAGTCAAAATCTTGCTCCCGAGCGGAACTCGTGTGCGCGCATTATGAAGCACGATTCGATTGCGAGCTGAACTCGTTCATAACCATCAAAGGGTTAAATAATCCAAAAATAATAGTTATTAGTAGTTAAAAATTAATACTAAAACTAAACTATTAATACAGATTTTAAATTATAAAATTTTTTATAATCTTGATGAAATGCTATCTTCTACAAACAAACTATTATATCTATGTTTGTGTCATATTATTGTTCAACTAGTTTTTGTTTCTCAGTTTTGCAAAACAGCTGATGACTTTTTTTGATCAACACCTCTCAGTTCAAGAATTTTTCTTAGATTTTGCAGTGCTTGCATTTCATTGATGATGGCACTATCATTTTCACTGTCTGCTGCACTTTTATAGTCATTTTTTACACACGCCTTACAAGGTTTGTGCATTGCAAGGTGCAAGGTGCATTAATTTCTAATTTTAATGCATAGAACCATGTGAAAATTTTAAATAAGTAACAAACGAAATGACAGCGTCTTGTGCAAAGCAAGCGAAATTAACATTTCTATTATATATAAGAATGCATTGAAACGTTTTCCTGTTTTCTATGTCTGTATTGTCTTTATGTATTTTCAGGTACATTGTGTAAAAATATTTGGTAATTGTAAAAGTATAATAAGTTAAAGAAATATCAAATATGCTAAATTTTTTGGCGACCCCCAGGTAGTCATGGTCCACAGTTTAAAAAATGCTGGTTTAGACAATATTCCCTGCATTTTCCATCCTCTTGTAAAGAAAAGCCTCTCTTTCAGCATGAATCAAAGTACTTAAAAGTGCCATTGTTGGAAACAGCAAAGGGCTTCTTAAAAGGGAAAAAACATAAAGTACTAAATAACCTGTTTTTTAAGGATCTTGCAGGAGTTAAACCCCCAACCTCAAAATATTAATTTTTCTCCTTATCAATATGTAAAAGCTCTATTTTCAGTGACTATCTTGAACTAACTTTTCTAGTGAAAAGAATCTGTTTTTAAAATGGGAAAATTTGTAAAAATGTTTATTTGAGTACAGCAAAGCACTCTAGTGCTGTGTAGGGAAAAGAATGCCTTTTCAAAGGACTTGATAAGTGAACTGACTCACATTAGCTTTACGCATGGGGAAAATCCATACAGCTAGTTTATTCGCTAGGATTCAAAATTAGGTTGAAATCTTACGCACTTGGTCATGTATTCAGGAGTGCTAGTTAGTATTATTTGGAGGTGTGGTAATGCTTTCTGTAATGCTTTTTTCTATCTTGAAGTATAATTTAATTGAACTTCCTCAGGTTTTATTTATTTGCTTACTGATTTTTTAGATTGAAGAAAAAGAGAGGCTTCTGAAGCGTAAGTTTAAATTTGGAGCAAGTGTATCATCATTGTCAGCTATCTCCAGCTTGGATGAGCAAGTAAATGCATTTATGTATTTTTTATTTCTGACTATTTCTGTTGTGGTATTTATTGCTTACATTTTGCATTGTTGTTTTTATCATTTAATTATTTCATGTCAAAAAGTTATATGTCAGAAGTAATGTAAAATTATCATTACCTAATACCTAAATGTATATATACTAGTGTGTTCCTCTGTTCAAAGGTTCCTACAACTGTAACCCTTCATGAGAAAAGTGTGAAAACTGTTTTTCATAATAAAGGGATGGGAAAACATGTAGCAAATACTAAATATTAATTACAAGTATTGGTGTTAGAGACTATTGTGAAACACTCATAGTTCAGATAAAAATTACAGCAGTTGGTACGAAATTGGCATTTTGATAAAAAAAAAATTCAACCGACAAACGAACTTAGTCATTTTAAGTAGCAATCTTAACTGAAAACAAGTTCCTTTTGAATGGTTGTTGTCGTTATAATAGCTGCTACATGGTGTTGAAAAAAAGATTCATATGAACTATGGGCATTTCACATACTATAAAATTACTTTCATTTGTAACTTTTTTTTACTAAGTCTTTACTTTTCCTTATTATGTCACACACAACAGATTGCACTTTGATGAATGGTTATGGCTATAAACAATTCTAAATAGGGGAGTGTAATTCTTAGAAGTATTAAATGGTATGCTAATATCAAAGAACTGCATTTATTTTAATTGCAAGATGATTATGAAGTGAAGATAAAAGGAAATGATGAATAATTTTTCATAGAATACTATTCTCAAGATTTCAGATATCTGTCTTGTATTATGTAATGCATAACAACCTCTAAATCATATTAAAAATTATTTTTCTGCTTCGTATTCTTAAATAAAATAGTTTGAATAAATGTCACATAATTTTATGTTGCACAGTATTTCTTCACTTTCGTGCAATGTGCTATGCATGTTAAGACTCCCCCCCCCATATTGGCTAATTTTCCTTTGGTGTACCATGTGCCAAGTCTATTGAATCAACTCATTTTTGTTATATAATTTTAACTGCCAGATCCTGCTTATTTCCCAATGTGTTTATGTTGAATCGACTGTATACATGAGGCTGGGGAGTGAGCTTTAAAAATAATCCAAAAACGGGAAATAAAATTAATGAAGCTTTTCATTTTTTCTTGAGGTTTTAAACTGTGTAAGTGTAAAATATTGTGTTAAAAGTGAAATATTTAAAATTTGTATACAAAGAAATTTTTAAATACTTTTGATAATGAAAATGGACCAGTGATTAAGTTTATTTAAGAAAATGAACTCAGAGAACATTTTTGGCCAGTTAAATGTCATAAAGGTTTCATATTTGGTACATTATATTATGTGACTATTGTATATAAGGGATTTAAAGCTGTTATTTGGGTCAGCAAACAATCTGCTAATTCTGAAAGGCAACTGTAACTAAAATTATCTATGCCTGTTATAATGAGTGTGCACTACATTTTCAAAAGATATATGTTCAGGGTTGCCATGCTACCTGAAAAACTGGGAAAAGTCTGGGAATTCGAAAACTGACTAAAGAAGTCAAGGAAAATATTTATTTTAGTCAAAATCTGGAAAAGTCGGGGAATTTCATATGGTAATCCCACCCAAAAGGGATTTTTATGATCTAACACTTTCTTTGTGAGTTATGTACCATGTAAGCGTCATTCGGGCCAGTGGCGTATGGCCAATTTTCGCACCTCCAATCTGATTGTATTTTAGAAAGTCAAAACAGGTTTCCAGTAACCTCAAGAATCGAGACATTTGTATGCGCATGTGCAGTGCATGTTGAGCGAAAGAAAATACCTTCCCATTCTCGAATAAAGCAAAATCCGTTTAATCCTAGTCTACGGTACACATGCAATTTGGCGACATGATCATGAGCAGTAAACCGGGCATTAATGATGAGTAGTAAACGGGTCATTTTGGTATTGGTGAGAATTTTCATAATCGTGTTGAGGCCATGTCGTAACCCATGACTTTACCACAAAATCTTTTAAACATTTTTTTAAAAATAAATGCCTTGTCATTTTGCAGTAAAATAAAACCATAGTAAGAAGTCGTCTTAGCTTAGCCATTTGATATTTGCCAGCATATCGCTGATTATTGTAATTTTTTAATCTTTAAGTAATCAGCATTATTTGAATGTTATTCATATCATTTAATGTGGCTTCTTTTTAAATTTATTTATAATTAGTTAATAATACTTTCAAATGTCAGGCAATTTTCTCTGGCATACTCCCTGAAACTAATTCTACCAGTATGATGACATACCATCAAGAAATTTAATGCACATATTTTTGCTTATGCAAGTACATTTAAATAATTTAAATATTTAAATAAATTTAAAATACCTGAATTTATTTTAAAATAACATTAAATAGATTTCTTTCTTTTGTTTAGCTACAAAATATCTGCAAAAAAGAAATTTTTTAATCCAGATTGGCCAGATTCTAATCTCAATCTTCAGTGTTAAAAACAATTTCTATTATAGTTATAATAGTAATGCTTTGGGGATAAATCGTATGTAATTGGCAAATTTTTATTAATAAAATAGCTTGATAGCACTAAAAACTGAAATCTCAAGGAAAGATGTGAGGTTTCATGCAGAAATTGTTAAGTTAAAAGTGATGTTTTGTTTTTATCGGTTGTTTTTGATGGTATGGGAATAAATTCCGATTTTTGCTCTCAAAAAATGGTTGAGAGAATGAAAATATAGCATGAAATAACTTGAAAAAAAAATAGTTTACAATGCTCCATTGTAAGGAATTGAAATTGTTACACCTCAAAAGTGTTATAATGGAAGTATAAGTTTTACAAGAAAGATATATACATTAGTTGGAATTCCTAAACGTTGTAGGATTTCTTAAGTTCTGAAAGCTATATTAACCATACCTCACAGCAATGTGGTATGCGAGTCCACTTCTAGCATTCCAGCCCCCTCCAAAAAACACTTTGTCCTTCTTTATGGGCAATGCAAAGTGTGGAGAATATCTTTAGTATCAAATATTAAGAGGGTAAGAAGTACTGCAAAGCTGAATTTTCTGTTTTATAAAAGTAAAATTCCTGTTTAATAAAAGCAAAATCAACTACTATAGATATAATACATTTGTCTGATTTTTCATTTCTTTAATCTTCGTAATTATTGTAAATTTCACACTTCATATCTTTCAGAATTTTTTTCTAGAAATCATCTTATTTGTGTACTCTCAAAAGGTTGGCATGTCTGATTTACTGTTTAATGGCATATAACTTAGTATTTAAGTTGGATTCTTAACATTTTATGAAATAAAAAGGTTCTCAGTAGAATTTGGATCATTTGAGAAGGGGAATATTAATGAGAAAATGGCTTTGGAGTCCTGTGAAATAAATCATCTTGATATACTAAATTAAAGTGTGCTTAGGTATACTCTATTTGTAAAAATGATACAAGGAAAGATTGCTTCTGTAATTATAATTTTCATCTGAGTGGTAATTGAATTGTTTCATATAAGCAGCATATACTTTACATATGTATAAAACATCGATTTTTAAATTTGAAGAATTTTGTAAAAATATTTCAAAATAATGCAATTGGTTTTATGTTCTTACATGTTATAACAATTTTCTTGTTTTTAAAATTTTTAAAAACATACAGCATGATCTATGTTTCGATTTAGATCAGTGGTTCTCAACCTGCTTCATGCACCCCTTTCATCATTGTGAGACAATCATTCCCCCACTTCATTACAATGTTCAAAAAATGCATATGCAATTTTTAATGTGTTTTCTGTATTAAAAAAAAAGGCTGACTATATTTCTTCCTGAAACTATGAAATTCCCCTTCTTGGTTTAGGTGGTAAAGTAGATGATTACACATTCAGTGAATTTTTTAAAAGTATTTGTCTTGGTGTGTATGTGCATGGTCTAGTACTAATATTAACCATCTAACTGAGTGTTGTTCGGATGCCGTGAAAAGTGACTTTTTTTATTTGCCTGTACACTACGGTCAGCGTATTTCCCTACACTAATCAACTGAGTTTCCCGCCTTTTCCACAATTCTTACTTACCACTTGGGCATTGTTTCTAATAGATGTCTCTAGTAGTTCAGGAGAAATTGGATAGTAAAATCAGTTGAAGTATAGGTTTTTGTCGCTTTTCATTAAGTAAAGATATTCAACGAACTTTTCTGGATGTGTTCAGGGTATTAGGCTTTGCAAATGCATTACTTCCCAATTTTTTCATGAAATAAAATAACGATGGGTGATGGTGAATTGCTCGAAACAAAATATAATTCTGATATTGGATCAGATAAGGAGTCTGAATTTTCTATAAATGATTCTAGAAGTCCTGAAGGTTCTTTATCAGTATTCTTTAGTGAGCATGAGGAAATGGAAAGTTCAGATGATCTAATTCAGTTTTGGATCTTTTAAGAAATGGATCCTAATAATCCTCCTCCACCACTGCTGCGATTTTCTTTTACAGCAAATTCAACACTTTCACATTTGTCTCCAGTAAAGTGCGCTTTCCAGTTCTGCAGGTTCATGAGAAAAAGCCAATTTTAAGAAAAAATACCTTAATATCGCCGTAATTAAAAATTAAATTAATAAGTGTAATACTTGTAACAGTTTTGACTGCTGATCTGAAATTTATATAAGTGATTAGAATATAAAACTGTTTATAAAAAATATGCTTATTTTTGATTGCAACATGGCAGGAAAATGAAATAGTTAAGTTGTTAAAGCAAAAACTCAAAACAGGAAGATTATTTGACCATAAGGTGTGCTATTCACAAACTTAACATTTGATGTCTTCTCCAAGCATGGTTATTTTATGTTTTCTTATTTTATGTTTTCTTATTAGAAAATTTTTTTATAAGAATCAGTTTGTTCCAGTAAAATTTTCTTTAAATTGACTCGTTTTGTTTTTCATCCTTATAGTTCATTTCCGTTAAAGTATATAATCAGCATTATATTGTATACATTTTAATATTTTCTAAATAGTAGTACTCTTTTGATTCAAAAGAATAAATGATTATGTAGTAAAGTCAGCTGATGAAATGGTGCTATGAATATATATATATATATATATATATATATATATATATAAATTCATAATAATTTATAATAAAACTTTCCATATACCATCCCCAAGAAACACTTTTTCATTGATGGTTTTAAATTTGTGTTCCTTAGAGATGGTATATGGAAAGTTTTATTATAAATTATTATGAATTATTAGTTTTTATTACTTTGCAGCTTTAGTTTAAGTCATAGGCTTTTTAATTTACGTTTAATTACTTTATTTTGAATATATATATTACTGTGGTGAAATACCTCTTGTTTCATTATAGTGAAATAATAGTATTATTGCTCTGCTTATAATGTGTTCTTACTTTTCAGGAAAAGAAAAGGAGGAGGGCGGAAAGATTTGGGATATCTTGAAACAGTTTTGATTTAAATTTTGTATTCTATTAATGTAAAATTCATAGAGAAATCCTATAACTGAATGTAAAATGTAAAAAGCTTATGTAATTCTTCCATTTATATTTTCTGGTCTGAATATTTTGTTTACTATTTAGAAGCATATTTACAAACCAAATACATAAAAAGAAATGCTGAATGTAACATTTCTTAATATAACAAGCAAGGTTTAGCTTGTAACTACTCTATCAGAGGTAGAACTTTTACCTTTTATATATTAAAAAAAAAAAAAAAAAAAACTGTTTGATATTGTATAATGAAGGTGACTTACCAAGTAGACTCGCACACATGCCTTTTATGCTTCCTCTTATTATTTTACATACTTATTTTTATTTATGTATTTAACTGACATGTGACCAGCTTCTCTATTATTATGATAAACAGTTTTTTATTTTATTATTGTTATTTTTTCACATGGCTGTGGTAATTTTTTTTTCTATTGCTATTATGTATTTTCTTTCTAATTTCAAATGCAATTTAATTATTCTTAAAAATGTATTGCAGAAATAATGATTTTGGGCACTGGCTGATAATTTGTTAGACATCATAGTTTGTGTAAAGCTAACCCAAGCAAATTATGCTCTACCAACCCCTAGTGGTTTTCAGCATACATTTTCTTATTAAGTATTATTTGATCTGAATTTATCTACTGCCTATTTGTAGAAAAACTTATGAACATTCAACCCATTTTTAAATTAGTTAATATTTGTGTTTAATTTTGCTTTTCATTCAAAATAAATTTCGATTTAACCAGAGCAGTCCCTGGTCAATCCAATAGCAGTTCAAAAAATATGTGAAAGTTGAAATAATCCATATAATAATTAACAAAAAAATGCTATTAAAAATTTATCTCTATTTTTAAATAGTCTGGAGAATAAAGTTCACTTAGTAATGTAAATTAATTGGTATTTAAAGAGACTTGGTACTTTTCAAGACAAATTTTCATATTTGTATGCATTCTGCAATTCATCATAAATAAGTAAGTTTTGCATACTTTAGAATGAAACTTTGACAATTTCAAGAATAAAGTATAATTTTTAAATAAATTATTTTCTATTTACAGTTTAAATATATATATATATTGAAAACAACTTAACATATAAGCACTAAACTTGTAAGAAGTAGAGTCACTTCCCTTCTGTTTTCTGCACAATAACTTTTAAAAGATATATTTTAGAGATTAAATTCTATGTCAGGTTAAAGTTAAATATTACCTTTATTCTGTGAACCAAAAACTTTAAAGTTATCTCTCATTTTAGTGTTTTTAAAAATTAACAAATACAGAAAAGTTGAAATTCGTAAAATATTGTATATGTATCATGCTGCGTTTTAAAATTTGTGCCTCACATTCACATAATTATGGTTTGCAGAGTAAAGAACCATAAAGTACAATATATAAAATTTTATAAGTCTACACTCATTATATTTTTCAGTGTTCATACGGTCCTTAAGGGTCCTTAGATTTTTTGGAATCAATTTTTGGTCCTTGGCCCAAATCAGCAGAAGTTCCTCAATTTTAATCATCAGAAATTTCTGTCTGTTTTTACGACTGCCATTGAGTGTGAATTACCATTTTGGAGAAATACTTTTGGTGATTCAATGACATATATGGTTATCTTTTGAATGGGTTATAATTTGGTTCTATTTCTAATATAAATGATGGGATACTTGAGTTTCTAAGCAAGAAGTGAAACATAAGCATTTCGAAATATTTTTTTTCCCCCCCCTAATAAAGAATTAAACACAACTTTTCACTTTTCGGGCTGTGAATTCTTTTATTGAATGGTTTAAATTTGCGAACTTATTCACATTTCGACGATTTTAAGATCCATTTCTATAGAAAATTTTTAATTCCCAAATCTAAGAACTGTTCGATGATTTTTTTAAAACCTCTTAACATTGATAAATTTTATTAAAATAATGGTAATATATTGAAATTATATTTAAAAAATAACATTAAAATAAAATATTCTGAGAATATGCATCAGTTTTCTCTATAACATTAATTTTACACTTATTCCCTAAATGTTTCTGGCTTTTTGCTGTTACAGAATTGGTAGGGATAATTTTTCTTCAGGATTTTAGACATTGCAGTGTGGAAAGTTTAGAAGGATTTGAAGGCAAGATTTATAGGCACACTAGAAGGTTTGAGAAATATGTGATAAAATGAAAAATGTCTCCATGATATCAACATGTAATGGATGTATTTTACAGAAAGTTTGCTATGAATTTCTTACTTTTTGGATAACATCTGGAAGAACTATGAAAACATAATATTTGAATGTTTTACTTCTGATACTAGAATCTTTTTCTTAACATCCCTTTATTTTCTCCACTTTTCGCTAGACACAAGCATGGAAAATATCAAAAATGCTCCTAATTTTATGACATGGGCATGCATTATAGAGAAGGATTTTTTATTAATAAAGAAATTGAAAACTTAAATTTAAAAGGATTCATCTAATATGTCTTAATGCATCATACACAGAACTGGCACTAGGCATTTTCCCACCTGATGCAATCTCTGTGGATCCTAAATTCTGCTTCCAATGCCTGCTTTAAACTAAAAGTTTTGGCATTTCTAGATTTTGTTGTTCGACGTGTCACTACACTCTAAAAATTCTGCCACACTAGCTTTGTAACTGGCCTTTACCATATAAATTTCATATTTCTGAATGTTCATATTACTAAAGAAATAAAATTAGCCACTTTCTGTATACATTATAAATGCGTTTAGTGTTTTTTAGAATAACAGAAATCCTTAATTAAATCCAGAAATTATAAAATGGAAAGAAATGTGTTGAAAGAACCTGAATACATAAAGAAAATTATTCTTCAAAGATATGTGCAGTTATTATTATGTAAATTACCTAATTGTTTATGATTTCAGCCTTTCCCATTTGTGTTTCCTTATATGATAGAGTTACTGAGCCAAATTAAATTAAAATTAAATTGTGTAATCTTTGAGCACTAGTCCACATTTTTAATTTGAATTTGACTGTTCTTGTTTAATTACGTCACCGTGAGCTGTAATTGATATTGTTAGCATCAGAACATGCCTTTTTTTCTAAGTTCTTTTTAAATAGCAGGCTTATTTAAACCTTTGTCTGATATTGTATGTACTTTCAGCCATAGGGATAATTTGCTTCACGTGTGTCGGGGGCTTTAGACTATTTAATTATGCCAGACCAAGTAAACACTCATAGGTACAATGTGGAGAGGTTGACAAGTTAGGAGATAAAGCATGCAGAAACTAGCAAGAGCGCTGGTTTGCATATTGAGGCAAATCTCTAATTGTTAGAAAAGATTAAAGAAAAGATGCATTGGAAGCAGAAGGAATTCGATATAAACTAACCAAAATGTTTGGGAAGGCTTTAAATTAAACTGTTGGATAATTATTTTGTTGAGTGTTGTTATTACAAAACATAAATGTTTTGTAACTTTTAATGTGTAATTATCCTAATATCATTTAAAAACGGTCATAAATTACATGTATTTTAAACTGTGAAATTTGATTAGATTTTGATTTTAATAGGGCTTTTTTAACAAATACTGTTAAAAATATAATTTAATAGTGGCCATGTAAATCCATAATGACTAAGGTTATCTAACTACCTAATTTAATTATTTATAACTAACTGCTTACCCTTAAAAATTCTCTACAAGCAAGTTATTGCCTTTCATTAATACTCACTGTGGTCACAAGATAAAACACAAAAATGTAAAAATTCAAGTAAAACTTATTCTTTGCATCTAGCGACATTTAAAATAATACAAAACAACTTATCACCTTTAGTGCTGCAATGGCTTATTGGAACCTTAAAGTATAACTGGTTATAAAGTTAAACTGGGTTATAACCTCTGAAACTCTACATGAAGCTACGAAACTAACTGCATCAAACAGAGCCTGACTAAATTTCAACAGCTGCCAACCGTGCCTACATCAGGCCTTTCAAGTTTGTTCTAATCAGCAGGTCTATCTCTAGACTAGCAGGAGCGGTGACAACATTCAGTCTATTGTTATGAATCATGCTGATTATGATCTTACTTCTCATTTTAACCTGTGCCGTTTGACATAAAATCTACATGCTATTTACTAAATCTTTAGACTGACCAAGTGTGTGACTAATGACATTAAAACAGTCAACATAAAGCTAACCGTTAGTAAAACGTAAATGTCGCTTATCATCTTTCAAATGTGTCCAATTATTATAAGTGTTAAATATTTAATGCTACTTGATAAATTGCATAAAGTTAATTTTATTCTCAAACTTATTAATAATTCTATTAATTCATGTTTAGTAATTCATACTACTAAGAGACCTATTTTATTTTTAAGATGTTATTACAAAAGCTGAAATTCAGGCATAGATAATATTTTTTAATTGAATTTATTCAGTTCCCATTTGCTTATAAGTCCTTAATTTTTTCATTAATGGTCCTAAAAAGTACTTAATTTCCAAGTGCAGAAATGTGTACAAACCCTGATTTTTACTTCCTTGTACGAAGTAAAGAAAGTATTGTAATCACAAAAAATTCTGGGTACCATATTTCAATGAAAATATCCATATTGACGTCTATCAAAGGCAATTTAATGATGTTTTTGCATGGCATCTGTTTGTAAGACGGGCTAAAGGACTCTTTTTCCCAAAAACGAATTATAAAATAGATTTAAAATGGATTCAGAAGAGATTTTTTCCGTGGCGTCTGTACGTATCTTTCATAATTAAAAAACGAGTAGATTTATAACAATGGAATTTTTTCTATAGGACTGCTATAACATTTAGATATGCACGTCCCTCTTTGGTTGCAGTTGGCTACACCGAAAGTATATAAATATATACGTATACCAACTCTGTTACTGGCTCAGTGAACTCAGTATTTTTATTCTGTATGTTAGTAAATTGTGCATTTTTTTTCCCTTAAAAATGATTGAATTATGTTGTTCTTATCTTCCAGTTAAGGTTTTTATGCCTTTAATTAATCTGCATGCAATATTTGTAGAATTATTAAGAATTTCAAAAGCATTTTAAGTGCAGCTAAGCCTAATTTTTTATTTACCATAGCAGCCATATTTGTTTACATGAATTAATTCTTTCTGCCAAGTGGAACCAAAAGGGAAACTCTTAATTTTGTGCACCAAAAAATCTGCTTTCTTGCCTGCCAGCTGAATTGTTTGCGTAGAAACTGTAATTTTAATTGTTTTAACTATATTTGGTGTTTTATGTTTTTCTGTATCTTTCAGTTTTAATTGAAAATATTTTGAGTTTTTATGTACATTTGCCTTGCTGCTAAGTAAGAGCTGAATTAATTGAATGAGTAATATTTCTAATGAAATTCAGAGAAATAACTTTAAATGAAATGCAGAAAAAAATATGTATAATTTAATATTCCAT